GAAAAACTAATTTAGTGAAAGTTAAAGTCCTTCCACTTTTGTTGAAAAAACTAAGTCAATAATGTTGAAAAAATTGAGTTTTAAAATTTTCAACCAGAAACTAAACGCACTATCAATAATGCAATTTTGATGAAAATGAAAATAATTTAAATAACTTAATCACAATAAATAAGGAAGGCTTAGGTGGTAAATTTATTCCTAAACTATAGATCCAACAAAAATATCTGAGACTCTAAACTAATTTTTGGTACTTTGTTTCCCTTTAATATTTTAAAAGAGTGTAATATTACTCCTACCATTAGCAAATGTTAATTTTAACTATTAATTGATAGAAAAAATTGTAAAAAAGGATCTCAAAAATTATAAAAAATGATCACCAAATTTTTTTTTTTTGGGTTTTTGTCTATAACAAATGTTTTACAGGTCGTCTTTTTCTGCAACTTTTTTGGGGTCCTTGTTCATAATTACAAGATCCAAAAAAAATTATAGAAAATGATTAAGAATATTTTTTTGTTTTTTTATGTAATTTTTTAGTTTATTTTCTATAATTTTTTAGTCAATTAACTGTTAAAATTAATTTTATTAATAATATAAGTGACATTATATCATTTTCAAAAGTTAAAGAAAAATGATGTAATAAAAATAAATTTAGAATTTCAAACGCTCATAAATATATAGTCTAAGAGTTAAATTTCACTTTATTCTAATAAAAAAATACCCTTCATTGTACAAAGAGTGTTATGACTAACGAGAGGTTAAAATTGCCATTATAGGCTATATTTATCCCCAAGTATAGGAACATGGTAGATCAATAGATATCATCATTCGAGATAATCATATCTTCAATGTTTCAAAGTTAATATTGCTATAAACACACTCTTTTTTTTTTCAAAGGCAAATAAAGTAATAAATAAAAAGAATAAGTAGCTGCAAAGATAATGTTAAAACAGAACTAACGGAACCACTAGAAAAAGTAAATGTAGGGAAAACAAAAATATCGGGACTACTTTTATAAGTTCTACAACTGTTAGGCCATGTTTGATAGTATTAAATTAATAAGGTGAAAATAAAATTAAAAATAAAATCTTAATTTACGCATGATTGGTATACAAGAGTTGCAATTCCTAAGAATCTTAATTCCACCAAAAATGCTAGAATCCAATTCCATCATATTGACCATGGAATTGCTTCAATTCCCTTGAATTCAATTTGTGAATCTCACTATTCTCATCTTTTTGTCCATTTATAACAAGATAGGTCTTTTTAATTTTAAAAAAAGGGCAATTTAGTCTTTTCTTATTTTAAGTACATATATAAATTAATATTATATTAGAATTTCATCTTCATACCAAACACACTTTTAAAATTCAATTCTATTTTGATTCTGATTCCGATTCCAATTTCGATTCCAATCCGATTTCATTAAAAACTCTTCCATCATACCAAACGAGGCCTTAAATTTTTGTAAGAGCTCGAGGATATTTTGTTCAAGAGGTGATTATGTGTAGGGTAGAAGAGGTTCCGTTATTGTACCAAACATGCAAGGTTCTCAAATTCAACAGATCTTGAAACACTACTAGAAAAATACAAATTAGCAAGAAAATTTAGTGAGGGATCATTATTCCTCTCTAAAATACCAAGTTAGTAAGAAAATTAGTAAGGGATGTTGATTTCGTAGCTTGACTTAAAATTAGTGAGGAAATTAGCAATGGACTATCAATCCCTCTCTAAAATAAGAGAATTAGCGAGGAAAATAGCGAGGGACTGTCAATCCCTTTCTAAAATAAGATAATTAGTGAGGGATTCCATCCCTAGCTAATTACTACAAAAAAAATTATCTTTTGACAATGACTTTTAATTATACATTTAATTATTTTCATTTAAAAATAATAATTAAATTTAAAAATTAACTAAAATATTCATAATAAAATTATTTAATATTTTCTTTATTTTAAGTTGATTTTCATTAATAAAATAATATTTTATTAAAAATATAATATAAAGAATAATTTAAATAAAATATAAATATTTTTAACATATTAATAATTGAAAATAAAATTTAATATGTATATGTGTGTATTTTTATAATATATTATTTGATATATTTATGTAGTTAAATAATATATATATATATATATATTTAATTTATTATATAATGCTTGTAGGTACATTTCAGTTCAATTGGCAATGAAGGAAAGCATAAAGCTTAAAAGGTATGAGGTCAAGGGTTCAAACATTGACTTTGAGATAAACATGATGAATATATGATATGGTAAGGAGTAAGTGACATGGCGTAAGGTGAACAATGACGTGTCATGAGTTGTCGCACATGTAGTGGGTGATAGGGCACGAAATGATAGGTAACATGGTGGTTGACAAAGCATGAGGTTGTTGATGACATGTCACAAGTTGACATCACACATAGCGAGTGATTTGACATAATTATTTTTAAATATAAGCATATTTAGCGAGGAATTAGCGAGGGATTCAGTCCTTAACTAATTTTCTCGCTAAATCCTCACTAATTTGTAAGAAAAATACAATTCCTCGCTAAATTTAATGAGCCTTTTTTAACTACAAAATTAGCGAGGGACAAAATTCATAGTTAAAATATAATTTAGCTACGAAAAATAGCATTTATTCAATTTTTCTAATAGTGAAAGAGCCTTTGTGAGAAATTCTAAAATTCAAATCAGAAGAGTTGGCAAATAGAAAGTTGAAAAAAAAAAAGTTATGAAGATATAGTTTTTCAGCAGAGTCTTAAACCATTTAGAGACAAATGAACAGCACAGTGAGCTTTTCATTGTTTCTTGAATAAGTGGAGCTTGATTATCCCAAAAGGAAGATCTAGTTTAATATGAGGTCATAGCAAGTTAGGTATTGATCATTCTTCTTGAAATTGGTGGCACTTGGTTATTTCGGTGCTGTAAATGTTCTTCCAATTACATGCATTGGTGAGTAAACAAATTATCCTTGAAATTGATGAATAACCTATAAACACTCACAAAGTAATACAAATAATAAAAACATACAATCTAAGAGCACATTTGGCACGGTACGTGGGATGAACAGTAAAGGAATGGAAAGAGTAAAAAATATACATGTTGGTTTTATGACGACATGCTAAATAACAAATATACACACCAATAAAACATTGAGAGAGATATATATATATATATATATATATTAATAAAATAAACTGATAGAAACAATAACAAGATGTCAAGGTTATAATGAACATTTTATTAAAATAACTGAAATACTCTCTTATATGCTTTGTATGGGTGCATCTTAACTCATTTCCTTGTAAGTTATGTGGGAATTTTCTAAATGTTGGTTTGTATGTGGGATCCACTAGAGTCACAATTAGCTCAACAGTATAAAAGTGTGGGATCCATTGACGCGATAAATTATAATTACAAATGAAATAAATATTTCAAAAAAAAATTAATACAAATAAATAAAGCATAGAATCGTGGCAATATTTGATATCATGAAATGAATAAAATTAAATGGAAAGAGAAATGAGAATAGGAATGTAAATGAGATTACTTAATAGCCTGTTTAGTATATTAAAAATAAGATAGACTATTTTTTTTTTGTATTTCTGTGTTTGGTATAATAGAAATATGATAAGAATAAGAAAAATATAATATCAAATTATTCAATTACCTTGATGTTCATCCATTAAATCTTCAATATATACATGTGGATACACCTAAAAGATTTTTCTTCTAAATTATGAGTTCTCACATAAATTGGTTCTTGTGCAATCTATTCCAAAGATGGGTATACATTATATTTGTCATTATTGATGAAATGCGAAAAGCAATGAAATTAATGTTAACTAAATGGATTAGGTTTCTTTGCATTGCATCTTCACTACGATTCTCAATCATTCAAATTTAATTTTAATTATGGAATTAACTTGTAACTTTAATAATAATCAAATCAAAATTATGAACATCAATTCAATGGTTTAGACTTGCATTGCCTCTCCACTAAAGCCTTGTTTGATATAAAGAAATAATTTTTATGAAATACGAATGTAAATGAGAACACAGATGGTTTCTTTTTATTACAAGAATATAAACAAGTTTTAAAAATATATTCGGCACTTCACTGAAAAAGTGATATATTTGTTTATTTGATTTTTGTAATCATAATTATAATAGTAAAATACCATAATGCCCTCGCTCTTATCAATTGAAGAAGAAAAGGGTCAATGTGAAGAAGGGGAGGTGGAGATCCAATGGTTTGGGGTAAAAATCAAAAGTTGAGGGAGGCAGTGATTATAAGGAAAGCTATCATGGATATATTCGTAGGAGTAATGTTGAATTGGTGAGTAAATATAAGAGTACAAAAGCTATTTTGAAATGACAAGTCTAAACAGTTTTGATCAAAACAATGTAGATAATTGAACTTTGATAACAAAGATTTAAAGCTTTGGGGGCCATGCTATTGGTCGAGAGAGGAAGGGAGAGGGACGATGATTTTGGGTAAAATAGGAATTTGTGAATTATTATAGGGACAAGATGGTAAAAAAAAATTTATTTCCTTGAATGGAGGTGGCATTTCTTTAGTTTGCATATAGAATAAGGCTTATCACAAATATAGGAGTGAGCCAATTGAACTGTCTCATGCATCAAATACCCAAACTTTATCAATCCCTCTTTCATTCTTATTTCACATACCCATTTCATCACACCAAACATGGCTTAAGGGAGAGAATCCACTTCCTCACCAAACCCTAGATAATATATTATTTGTCCACTTTCCTCCTTCCCCTTCCAAGTTCCAACAATTCATCTAAACCATGTATGAGGCACGTCATGTCTATAAACTAAAAGTATAAACTCTTATCATTATTCATGAGCCACTATAATCCTAAAAAAATATTAAAAAAATGATTGATGTTTCTATGTAATTCAATGGGCATTTTGGTCATTTGAGCCACCAAAACCAAGAGCATCAGGCCACCTGTACTGCCTGGGCGGAAAACCCAGCATTGCCAAATTTCAATTTCGTCGAAACGGAATTCTTTTCATGCAAAGCGAATTTTCTCTTCTTGCCACACTCTCGGTGCCACTGGACCCTCGTTCTCACTCCACCCACTCTTGGCCTTCGCTTCATTCTGCGTCCGAGCCGCGCAGAGAGAGAAACCAGGGAATCAGATATTTCCGTCCCTGCTCCTGGTATGCTGATTTCATTGCTGATGGGGCATTTTCGATTCATGCAGAATGCTTTTACTCTCTTGAGCTATGGCGCTAATTGCACTTGCCCATTTGTTATTCTCGTTCTTTGGTCTAGGGTTTGACTTTCAGCTCCGTGAGTCACTGAAAGGAGGGAGTTTTGGTTTTTCGAGGTAGGACTTGTGTTTCGGGACGAGAAAATGACGGGTTTGTTTGAGTAGGGCGGTAATCAAATGTTTTGGTTTCTGGGAAGTATGCCAGAAAAATTAGTTTGACGGTCTGTTTCATTTGAAGTTGAGGGCTTGAGAGAATAAAATTATGGCAAATGTTCTGTACATTTTTTTTTTTGCATGTTTTTAATAATATCGGAGGCTTTGTATCCTGCATTCCACCTGCACCGCAATTCCATCTTTGGCTCCGAGCGTAACTCTGGGAGCAATGCTTCGCGCATTTTTATGCTAGTCTTCCTTTCCATGCAGCCTGTCATTTCTTTGGTTCTCTGAAACCCCAAAAGAGGGCCATATTAACTGTCTTTTTAAATTTTAGTTTGCTGTTTAAACTCATTTCCCTTGGCAAGTCGTTTTCATTTTATTCTGAATGAAGCGAAGATTCTGATTTCATCTGATTCGTTGAGTCGGAAGTGAATATGAATCCATTTAAAGTTCTTTCTCTTTCTTCAACTTTTTTTTTAATTTTCTTTTCTCTATATTTTCCAGCTTGTGTTTACTCATCGACTTTTTGATGAAATCTTGAAGAACTCTTGAGGGTGTCACTGCACTCACAAGTCACAATTGTTGTCTTGAGTGAGTTTCCTGTCCATACAAGTCCCCCATGTTGAATAATTTTTTCTCTGTTCGTCAGGCCTTGGGAGGAAGGAGAGCTTGGTACATTTTTGAAGTGTGCTCTCTTTGTTGGGTACTAGGGGTTGTTGTCTAATGCTAGAGGCGTTAATGATGTTGTACCATTTCTATTGATGAATTTCGGTTTTTACAATTTTTGTTCTCAATGATGTTGTACCATGAGTTGTCTTGCTGGCTCTTCAGTTAGAGGGTTAATGGAAACTATTAAGTTTGAGCTCATGCTTTTACGAGTTTTGTGTTACTTTTTTTTCTTCCATTTCTATTTTTCACGAGGAGGATGCCTTATCTTCTGGTCACAATTGTCTCATTTATCAATTATTCACCCCTTCCCAAAGACATAAGGAAGAAAAGAAAAGGCCATTTTGGAGGTTTTACTAAGTAATATGAGTGATTATAAATTATTTGTTTGCAGGAACCTAAAATTACTTTGGAACTCTGAAATTGATGGAGGAAGATCCTTCTTCAACTATTTTAGATGCTGAAGTTGTCGGGATCAGATTTAGTCTGGCTACATGTCATGAAATTGTAAGCTCAAATTGAACTTCTGCTTTCAGTTTTGTTAATAGAGTTTCTTAATGGACCAATTGAGCTCCCTGTGGCGTGTAGCTTAGGAAATAACCATCCCTTTTTGTAAGCGAGATAAACTTGGATCAATGCAGGGTGTGTTATTGTGATCTGTGCAAAGGATGACATGCGCTGATATTATGAGCTCCTCAAGGCAGTCAAAGTCAATAAAAACGCCCTTGTGGTGCTAAACCCTTGAACTGCCTTAGATGAGAGGCGTAGGGGGGAAAAAGAAAAGACAAGAGACAGTTAAGGGAAATAAGATGCTAAAATAGGAAATGATGCCAAAAAATGCTAATGAATAAAATAAATAAATAAATGTAAGTTGTAACAACATTTGATCTTTAAGTTAATTATTAAACATAATTATCATCTAGCCATAGGTCATATTGATAATCAAATGCGCTAATTAATTTAGTAATTCAATAACATTATTATCCAATCAGAAAATCATTTAGTCAACGCTCAAAGTAATATGTTCAGTTGTCAAACCTTAGAAAACTAATGGCATAAAAAATATTTTAAAGTGACAATGGCCCTTTTGCCTTATCACTGATTAGTGCTTAATTGTTGGATTGGATTTATGGTTTTCCGATTCATAATGAAGCTACACTGTTTTAAAATACTTGAGCTGGCCTTCCGGGATTTCCCTTCTGTTTCTACCAATCTCAAGTGACAAAAGTGCTCGCCTTGAATGAAGGGGAAAGCACCAAAGGTGCTGCCAGGTGAGCAGCTGGCTTAAGCCAATGCTTCTTATGGTGCAAGAGGCATTAACCCCTTTAGTGCCTCACTTTAGCATGTTAGGTGCTAGGGCGAATTCCTTTGACTACACCAGAGCTTCTTGCAACATTTGTCAGGAGTATTTTCTGCTATGTACCTATCAGGACATTTTTTTCAGAATGCTAATTTGTTTTTTATATCAATTTCAGAGTTCAATTGTGTTATCTTGAAAGTTACCTTTTTTTGGTTGAGCATTATGAATAGAGTTTAAAACATAGTTTGAAGCATGAATTCTATGGGTATGTAGTATGTTAGTATTATATTTATGGTCAGTTGCTAAGAGTATTGCTTGAAATATCTCAAATTATTACTTTAACTGAAGAAGAGGTTTCTGAGTAATGTCTGCTTCAACCATGCATCACTGAGCCTTATAGTGATATTTGATTTTTTTTTTCTTTGGACCAAATTATTGGTTTCATTTCTGTCATGTCTTGGCAGTGTACAGCATCCATCAATGACTCTTCAATTAGCCATGCTAGTCAGCTGTCAAATCCATTTCTTGGGTTACCCCTTGAATTTGGAAGATGTGAATCTTGTGGAACTTCTGAAGCTGGAAAATGTGAAGGTTTGTATATGGTCATTCTCTGGCTATTATTTTGATAAAAGAATAGCATTTCAAATGTATCAATACTCTGCTCTTATTTTCTAGGTCACTTTGGATATATTAAGCTACCAGTTCCAATATACCATCCAAGTCATATTAGTGAATTGAAGAAGATGCTGAGCTTGTTGTGCTTAAACTGCTTGAAAATGAAAACATACAAGGTATCACCTGACAAAGGAGTTTCATTATTCATTTTTCGCATGTTGAATTAACAAAAATTTGCTGGTCTTTTCAGTAACCTGTAGTTATTGAATGCAAAAGGTGAAGGAGCTGCAGTTAATATTCTTTCGTTTACACCTTTTACCCAGAGAGTTAAGTTCTTTGAGAGGACAGGCTTATGAAAGACTATTTTCCAGTCAAATAATCAATTATATTTATCACAATTTCATTGTTTCTCATCATCTTTGAATATTCTTATACGTCTGATTTGAAAAGTAAACTTTATTCTTTTGCCAAAAATTGAAAAGTAAACTTAATAAAGAGGTGATAAGCATCCTCCTATTATAGATTGCAATGTGAATCTCTAGCTTGAAAAATATAGACATACTAGGAAACATTTAAGTGAGGAAAATTATGACAATATGTTCATGTTGTATTCTTCCTATCCCCCCTTCTTCTTTCCCTGAAGTTTTACTGACTTTTAATAGATAGTGAGCGGTTGATAATTTGCTCATCTCTGATTATAGTTATCATGTTAGCTTGCAATTTTTAATTTACTAGCCTATAAATTTCAGAATCCAGTGGCAAGCAATGGTTTAGCGCAGAAGTTTTTGGCAAAATGTTGTGGGGTCAGTATGAACCACTCTCACTCACTCACTCTCACTCTCACTCTCTCGTTATATATATTGATATATAAATATATATATGTGTGTGTGTATATGAAAATGCGTATGGATATATGTATATTTGAGTTTATTATTATTCTTATCATCTATTTATATATGTGGGAATGCAATAAATATGATGACACCTATGACTTACATTTTCTATGTTAAACATATATATGCACCCACATTTTTAATTTTCAAAGAGATCATTTTACATGTGCTGGACTTGGAGCATTGCATTGAGTTTTAAAGTTTCTGGTGTCTTTTTGACATAGATGGTTCCTTCACTTTTAGTATAGATGCTTTAGTTTATATCATATTTTCTGCAATTTTACCTCTATCAGTGGTTTATTTTTGTCTCTGTTTTTTTTTTTCCAAAGATGGAAAATAATAAAATTGAGTGCTCTAGATACACTTATGGTATGTTTGGTATGCTTAGGAAGATACAAGGAAAAGGCATACAGCAGAAAAGAACCTTTGGCATGATTGAAATCTACTGTCTACTATTCCCTTTCCATTGCAGATGAGGTCAGGGCTTTCCATCTGAGGAGGGAGGGAATTATATCAGATGAAATAATAAACAGTGCAAAGATGAATTTGTCACTGATCTTCATTATATTATATTCATTTCATAAGTTTTATCAGTCTAATTCCAAAGATACATGACAATCATTTGAATGCTGAGCATGAACTTCATGTCAGTTTACTTCTCTACAGACATTTTTCTTCTTCTTATTCCTCTTATTTTTTTTTCCCAATTTTTTTACACTTGGCTTCTCATTTCAAATCTCAACTTCCTTGGAAAACTAGATTCTACCATATTTAATAGCTTTACCTGTGATCTGATCAAGACCAACCTTCCAAATTATACCCTAATCAATTTTCCCCTTTAATTGTTAGAACACAGCAAAAAGAAGGGGGGGGGGTTTCAGTTAGGTCCCAATAGTTTAACTCAATAATAGTTAGGTCCCAAAATTTTGTTGAGAGATGACTTGCAAATGCCAATTTTCATAATTGTAAATATTGGAGTTTCAGTTATTCCTTATTTGCAATGTTGATAATTGGGAGTGGTCCATAAGATTTAAATGCCTGATTTGCAACTGAAATTTCTATATCTACAACTGTTTGAATTGATATTTGCACTTGTTTTTTTTTTAGTAAAGTTTTTTTGAACCTATCTGTCATTAATTTGATCTTTTGGAACCTAAGTGTCATTCCTCTAGATGGATATTCCTTGCCTCATCTGCTGTTGCAATCAATGTCCCCTACCTTGCTTTGTCTTCTTTGCTGTTCAAAGTTCTTGCTCGGAATCTGGCCACAAATGATTGTTCTTGCTGCAGATCTGCTCAAATATTGTGGATATGATGCTTTATGAAGGATAGGATTTTGCAAGGAGCTCTAATCACTACTCTAGAGGTTTCTAAACATTCGTCAGAGATTTTATGGAGGGAAAGAATAAGGGAAAAAATAGAATAGAATATGGCAAAGTAAAATCTTCAAATTTCATTGTGGTTGGGCCAAAACATTCTGCAGCCTATTAATGATTACACCATATACACCAAAACAAATCCTTTTATGTGTATATATGCATATACGTATATGCACATGCACATGCACGCATGCTCATGCATAATGATGGATTTTTTTTGGGGGGGGCCATGGAGGTTCTTCATCCCCCAAAATGAATGACGAACGGACTGATATAATGCTGTATGGCTACCAATGAAAAAAACTGTGAAGCTTTCTTCCTTTTCTTATACTTTTTTTGTTCATATTAATAAGATCTAAATTTATTTCAAGGTTAATCTGGTCAATCACTTTTTTAGCTTTTTCATTGCTATCAAAATTCTATTCTGCCACACATAACAATGTAAAAGTATCCTATTTCTATCCAAAAACATGCCTTATGAGATTTTAGGTCATCCCATTTCATTCCATTCTCATTTTAATTCCCTTTTCCATTCCCTTAAAATCCATTCCTCTCTACCAATCTTACCGTTGGCCTGAGAGGAATGCCACTTTTATTTAGTTTCAGAAGCTGTTTAAATTCAATTCCTTTCTTTTCTAGACATGTTTCCCCTTCCTGACCTTCGTCCTTGGAGGGAAGAAGAAAGGAAGTGGTAGAGGCGTACTCCTTTACCTTGTCTGTGAGGGGTGTAACTGATAGACATTCAGCAAGATTGACGCATTTTTCATTCTTCTCCAAATTTTCCTTATATATGTTTTATCCTCTTTTTATTTCTATTAAATCTAAGCCTTCTCTTGGAAACATAATTATGCTGTTAGCTTGTTTTGTTCTTCCCTAATTGAGTTGGCTTTAGCAGGATTTACAATTTATGCTAATTTGTAGTAGGTGGAAGTCTATTGTTTATTTTCATATTTATGATATTTCCATCTTGTTCTTTATAGAATCCTAATGCTTCACAAGTTACTATTCGGGAGGTTAAAACAACAGACGGTGCTTGTTACTTGGAATTGAAGGTGTCTAAGTCAAAAATGTGTCCTGGCTTTTGGGGATTTTTGGAAAAATATGGCTATCGCTATGAAAGCAACAATACTCGAGCTTTGCTTCCTTATGAGGTGTTGTTTCTGCTATCCTTTTTCCCATGACACTTATAATGACTAGTTACTCTTCTTTGTCTGCATATTCATTGTCCTGGTAAATATCTATTTGCTAGTTGTGATTCTGTGTTTTATGCATCATCTGAATTTTATAGGTCTATGTATATTTCTTACTGTCCACAAATCATAACTTATAAGGCATCGAACTTCTTATGTGTTCCCGCTTGTTATACACAGGAACAGGCTACCCCCATGTATACACAACATAATGTGGAAAATTGTAGCCCTGATATTTGTATATTTCAATTGGGCAATCCTATTGGTTATTTCCTTTGACGCTTTCCCCCCTCCAGTTTTTCTATTTTTAAAGATAAATTATAAATTTGTTGTAGCATTCCAAGGCTGACCCATGTTCCTTTTAGTTTATTAGGGATTGAAGTGTCACATGTATTTCTTGATCACTAATTACTTAATTTATCGGTGCAAATGACATTTTCTTGTTTTATAGTATTGAATTGTAAAATAAAAAATATATGTGATTTATGATGGATCTTGTAATGTCTATAATTGAGTGTTAAGTTGGATAATGCTGTGCTGTTTGACGTTAATGCTTCTGATAGCATCTATTTGCTGTTACTTTTGTGCTGGAACTTGGCATTTACTTTGATTCTTTTTGTTGCTTTATTTTTTCAAATACATAAGGTCATGGAAATTATCAAAAGAATACCTCCAGAGACCAGAAAAAAACTTGTTGGAAAAGGCTATTTCCCCCAAGAAGGATATGTCTTGAAGTATCTTCCAGTACCCCCAAACTGTTTGTCTGTGCCAGAAGTTTCAGATGGTATGAGTGTCCTATCTTCGGTGAGTAATCAAAGGAATGTGGCTGTTTTCTCAATTTCACTATTCTTTTTCGTGTAAAATTCATAATAAGAATAGAAATATAGATGATGAGGCTTGCTCACATGTGGGACTCGCATACTGTTGCAATGGGCAGCCTTTGTTTGCTTTAATAGATGTTGATTACTTGATTTAAGAATAGAGATTGACTATAAGATTAACTCTTACAGATATAGATGATGAGGCTTGCTCACATGTGGGACTCACATATTGTTGCAATGGGCAGCCTTTGTTTGCTTTAATAGATGTTGATTACTTGATTTAAGAATAGAGATTGACTATAAGATTAACTCTTACAGATAGTGAAATGACAAAATACCAATCCATACGTTTAACAAGACTCTGTGGATTTATATAAACTAATAAATGCGTAAATTCAGGGTTACTTGAACCAGACCTGACATTGAACTTGGGAGGGGATTGGGTCTGGGTAACTGTGAGGTCACTATTTTTAATATCCTCTTTTCTTAAAAATATGCATAATTTTTATGTGGCTTGTTTAATTGAAAAGTCTCAAATTACTACTAAAATTTCATTTCAAAAAGTTCAAAGTTATGGATCTGATGATCTGATGAGTTTTCTCTCCCTCACCCTTTCTTGAAGAAAAAGAGATTTGGGGCTTTTTGTTATTGGATTGCATTGGGTCACAAAGGACCCCACTTTGCAACTTGAATTAACTGCAGGTTTCTGCATCATTTAAATCGTGTGATTCAATTGAAAGTTTACCATTTGCCTCAAAATTCTGGTGATTCTGGATGTATTTCTGTGCAGTTCCCCAGTGATCTGTACTGTTGGCTTTCTGAATTGTATTGTATCTTGAATTCTGATTTGAACAATTTTTATGGCATTGCTTCAGATAAATTATAATTTAAATCTCTAGATAAACCTGAACTTTTGATCCATTAGGAGTTTCACACGATGGGTCTCTGAATGCTATAGAGCTGGTGAATACATCTTTTCCTTGTTTTGCAGGATCCTTCCATGACAGTGCTAAGAAAAATGCTTAGGAAGGCAGAAATTATAACGAATTCGAGATCTGGCAATCCGAACTTTGAGTCTCATCAAGTGGAAGCAGCTGACTTGCAGTCAATTGTTTCTCAGTATCTTCAAGTTAGGGGTACTTCTAAGGCAGCACGTGATATTGAGACACATTACGGGGTCAATAAAGAACTCAATGAATCTACAACAAAAGCATGGATGGAGAAGATGAGAACTTTGTTCATCAGAAAGGGTTCTGGATTTTCTTCAAGGAGTGTGATAACTGGGGAATCTTACAAAAAGATAAGTGAAATTGGAATTCCCCTTGAAGTTGCCCAAAGGATAACATTTGAGGAAAGGGTTAACTCTCATAACATAAATTATTTACAGGAACTGGTGGATCAAAATTTGTGTCTAACCTACAGAGAAGGCTTGTCAACCTATTCGCTTAGGGAGAGTTCAAAGGGGCATATATATCTTAAACCTGGTCAGATAGTTCATCGAAGGATAATGGATGGTGATATTGTCTTTATTAACAGGCCCCCTACGACACACAAGCACTCACTTCAAGCGCTTTCAGTATATATCCATGATGACCACACTGTGAAGATAAATCCCCTTATTTGTGGACCTCTGGGTGCTGATTTTGATGGTGACTGTATACACTTGTTTTATCCTCAGTCATTGGCTGCCAAAGCAGAGGTCTTGGAGCTTTTCTCTCTGGAAAAACAGCTGCTCAGTTCTCACAGTGGAAATCTTAATTTGCAGCTTACTAGTGATTCACTATTGTCACTGAAAATGTTGTTTAAGAGATACTTTTTGGCTAAAATGGAAACTCATCAGTTAGCCATGTTCATCTCACCATCATTGCCAAAACCTGCTCTTGTAAAAGCCTATTCTGAAGGTCCTTATTGGACTGCTGTGCAAATGTTGCAATCTGTGCTGCCATCTAGTTTTGACTGCACTGGGGACAAGTACTTGATTTCTCAAAGCGAAATCTTGAGGTTTGATTTTAGTAGAGATATTCTTTCTACAATGATAAATGAAATTGCAGCCTCAATTTTCTTTGGAAAGGGTCCTGGGGAGGTAATGAGATTCTTCAATGTTTTACAACCATTTTTGATGGAAAGTTTATTTGTGGAAGGGTTTAGTGTTAGTTTGAAAGACTTTTTCATGTATGGGGAAGCCATGAGAAGCATTAAAAGGAGCATTGGTACACAAGACATTTTGCTGAAACAATTAAGGTCAATTTACAATGAATTGGTGCAACAGCAATTGGAGAAGTATATTCAAGATGTGAAGCAACCAATTATTAATTTTATTTTGAAGTCAGGTCTTGGTGATTTGATTGACTCAAAGAGTGAGTCTGCTATTGATAAGTTGGTTCAGCAGATTGGATTCTTAGGCATGCAGCTTTCAGATAGGGGGAAATTTTATTCAAAGACATTGGTTGAGGACGTGGCCTCACATTTCAATGGTAAATATTATGATAGGATTGATTATCCCTCTGCAGAGTTTGGATTACTCAAGGGATGCTTTCTGCATGGCTTAGACCCATATGAAGAGATGGTGCATTCTATCTCAACTAGAGAGATACTTGTGCGCTCTTCTAGAGGGCTATCTGAACCAGGAACATTGTTTAAGAATTTGATGGCCATCCTCCGGGATGTTGTTATTTGCTATGATGGCACTGTGAGAAATGTTTGTAGCAATTCTGTCATTCAATTTGAATATGGAGTAAAAGCTGGAGATAAGTCCCAACTTTTATTCCCTCCTGGCGAGCCAGTAGGTGTCTTAGCTGCAACTGCCATGTCAAATCCTGCTTACAAGGCAGTCCTTGATGCTAGTCCTAACAGTAACTCTTCGTGGGAATTGATGAAGGTAATTTATATGTTTATCTAATGACTAATGATGCTATCTGGTTTTTATAGTCAGATGATTTTTCTTTCTCTGATTTTATATTCATCCATTTTGTGTTCAGGAAATATTGGTTTGCAAGGTAAGTTTTAAGAATGAGCCAATTGATCGGCGTGTAATTTTGTACTTGAATGATTGTGGTTGTGGAAAGTTGTATTGCCGAGAAAATGCAGCTTATCTGGTTAAAAATCAATTGAGAAAAGTCAGTCTTAAAGAGGTGGCAGATGAGGTTGTGATTGAGTATGTATCCTCTCCCATATTCTCTCTATATCTCATTATATCTAAGAAATGTGTGTATTGATTTGAACTTTCAGCCATTGTTTCTTGTAACTTCTAGCATGTAAATGTTGTCAGTTGCATCAGTGCATATTTATGTGCATAAATATTTAGTTGCCTGAAATAATATAATATTCAACTACCATTCAACTATTGCATGTTACCATGCAATTTTGTCTTTATGATGATGCTAAGGATTTTCTTTGGTTTCATATATTCTTTGGCATGTTTATTTTCAGATACCAAAGTCAGAGAACTTGCAACGAGAGTCCTGAGACTGATGCAGGCCTTGTTGGTCATATTTTTCTCAATAAGGTGGTTGAATTTCCTTTTGGCACAAACTTGAGCATATTTATGTGTTGAATTTCGTTTTGGCAGACGTTGATGCAGTTAGATGTCAACTGTATTTAAAATATACCAATTACAGTTGAAGTTAATGGAAAGAGAATAACTCTGGGACAGAGCATGACATTTTTTTGTAGATGTCAACTATATTTAAAATATTAATAACATTCCTATTACAATTGAGGTTAATGAAAAGAGAATAACTCGGGGACAGAGCATGGCGTTTTTTTCCTTTTCTTTTTGTGTGCTTTATTTGATGGTTTTGAAAAGGGCTTCTATCAGATATGCAGAGGGTACTGGAGTTGTTGATTAAGTTTATGTTTGATGGTCTTAAAAAGGTTCTTTCTTTACTTTGTGATTCTATGGTTTTAGAAGGATTCCGAATCCTCCTCTCTAATAAACAACTGGCTGAATATATGATTTTTTTCTATCATGAATTATTGATGAAATTATTAGTTTACTATGATACGTAAGGTGAAAAAATGGTTCAAAACATTTTTACTTGCGTTAATTTTTTTTTAATTGTATTTCCCCCTAATGCCAGTTGTATATTGTGTGTGTGTGTGTGTGTGTGGGTATATACTAAGTTTGTACTTCAAAAAATTTTTGAGATCTGACAAGTAATTTTTTTAATGATGAGTAGTAAAAGAAAAAAAATTATCTTGAGGTTTATGAAACACATTTTTTTAAAGTGACCATATCTTTCTTAAACAGATGATGTTGGAGGAGAAGAAGATCAATATGGCTGAGGTGGTCCAAAGATGCCAAGAAACTCTCAAGCCATATTATAAGAAGAAGAAACTTGGTCATATTTTTAAGAAGACAGAACTATTTTTCAGGTTAAATTCTGCCCAAAGATGCAAATTGTTTGGAATTGAAAAATTACCTTCTGAACTGTTGTTCCTTCTTAGCAGTGAGTCTTCTGCACCATGCGTGTCATTTATTTGGCGAGATGGAGATGCTATTGATGATTTAGAGAAAACTGTGTACATTTTGGCTGAGGTTATTTGCCCTGTTCTTTTAGAAACAATAATCAAAGGTATTTTCCTCAATTTATCTTTTACTGTAATTTTCAAGTCCAATACATAATTAATGTTTGCTTCTGACTTGCTATGAATTTATGCTTTGTTGTAAATTGTTCAATTAGTATTTGGTGATGGAGCTCAAATTATGTTTCATTCTCAAGGCGGTCCTTTTTAGTGAAGTTGATATTTCAGCATTTGCTGGGACTTATCAGAACCAATGTTTTTTGCATCTTACAATGCATTGTTTTCTTTAGTGAAGTTGATATTTCAGTGTTTGATTGGTGGTTGATTGAATACTGTTATAATCCTGCATTTCAATGTCATTTGCTGCTGTCAATTGTCATTTTAATTTTGTAGCAAATGGACACAACCAAATTTATTTCCAGAAGATTGGTGACTGTTGCTGGGGAAAGTGGTTTGGTTGCTGCCCGTTTATTTCTAATTTTCCTACTCAAGCTTCTGCGGAACTCAGATTTCATGCACTGGATATATTTAGATAATTGATTAAATTGCTGGGCAGACATTATATCCTTGGTCTGTCATACAACTTGCCATGCTGCTTGCTTATGTGTTTTCGATTAATCTATCTTTCTGTCAAATAAACAGGAGATGCCTGCATTAGCTCCGCAAGCATTATCTGGGTTAATTCGGATTCAAATATGTGGGTGCATAACCCCAGCAAATCTCCAAAAGGCGAACTGGCATTGGACATCATTCTTGAGAAGAAGGCTGTAAAGCAAAATGGTGATGCATGGAGGATTGTACTTGACTCATGCCTTCCTGTCCTTCATTTAATTGATACCACACGTTCGATTCCATATGCAATTAAGCAAGTTGAGGAATTGTTGGGGATTTCATGTGTTTTTGATCAAGTGATTCGGGTAGGTTTATTCCTCTATCCTATCAGAATCCTTATGGCTGTGAAAAATATGTTGAATGTATGTCATCATTGCCACATGAAAAATTGTATTTATTGCTCAATTTTATTAATGGGGTCTGCTCTGTCTTACTCACCTTGAGCATATAATGAATCAGATGTGGAAAACAAAAAATACTGCCTTCAGTTTCAACACCTGATTGACCCTTGTTTCCATTGTCTAAGATTCAGCACTCAATTTTATTAATTTTACGCAGAGTTTACATTTACATTGTGGTCAAAGGTGAAGATTTGTTACCACAAAGAAAAAGGTCTTCACAGGCTTATAGTTGTTTTCTTGCTGTGTTGTTCAGTGTTGTCCATGAGTACATTCACTTTATAGAAGTACATCTGTTCTAGTTCTGGCAGCCACTTTTATGTTCCTATATATTGGCAAGGCTTGCTAACAGGGGATCAAGGAGAGGTTATGCTGATTAAGTTTGGGAAGTCTGGCTTTTAAAGTTACAGTGAGTTGTAATTTCATAAATTTGTATTCTCTGAGTTTATTTTAAAAGTTACAAAAATTTGTATTAGTAAATACAGGAGTCCTAGTGATCTTTCCTGAGAAACAAGTCCCATTGTGGTATATAATCTTATTTAGGACTCATTGTCCTGGTGGGAGGGAGTAGCCAGAATCTTGACTGGTGAGAAACTATGGTGTACTAATGCACACATGTTTATTATACTAATTGCCTCACATTGTCAATTCATATTAGAGCAACATGCTGTCATTTAGTGCTCAACTTTATTGCACACATCAGTCCCTGATGCTGAGCCACTGCTTGATATTTTAGATCCACAACCATGGTAGGCAGGGTCGATTAGGTTGTCTTTGTCACTTTCTTCTATCTGTAAGTTGGAGACTATTTCTTTTTGTTATCACTAGTCATTGCCTCCTCTGAGTTCTCGTCATATATTATTTTCATGGACTGAAAAAAGAAGGGAAGGAAATGTGGAAGTTTTGGAGCTTATTGAGAAGTGTAGGTGGCATCGTATTCTGTATGTATAATTGTAAGTTGTTTGGGATAAATTAAAGGCTTAAGAATAGGGAAACGGGACAAAATGGTTAAGAACATGAACTTATAGAACTGGAATGTGGTTGGAGCTTTTACGGGTCCCATTTAAGGAACTATTTATATCACTATTGTGAGTGAGCAAAAGTTTCTTTACAGCAAGACTGGTTCATATCAATGTAAGTCTTGGTGTCATTATGCTGGATTTGGGTAAAAAATCTTGTGTTCATGATGCCAATATTCCTTTTTGACTCTACCTTGTGCAAGTCAAAATACGTGCTTGAGCTTTAGCCTTGCTGGTTTAAGGAGTCATACAATTCTCTTTCCTGCACTTGAAAGTGTGAGATTGATATCACAAACTAGTGAGTCTTAAGTTTGATTGAGGTACCATAATTGTGGTCTAGTCTTTACTGACCTCACATATGGACTATACAATTTTTATTTTCCTGGATCTTTCTTGTTCCCCCTACCCCAAATGGTCACCACAGATCTGCTTGTATTCTGTGGGACTTGGATCCTTTGAGCGAGGTTTATGAAGTGTTGTAAATTTTTCCTCATCTGGTATTTTTTTTTTTAAATCTTTAATTCTCTGCTATATTTTCTAATTTGGGAACATTTCACTGATCCTCACTTCAGATGAACTGCATAAATATTTCCATAAAATTCAATTGACTAACATTTTGTTGTTATGTGCAGCGTCTTGCATTATCTGTAAAAATGGTTGCAAAAGGTGTTCTCAGGGAGCATCTGCTTCTCTTGGCAAGTAGCATGACCTGTGGTGGGAGTTTAGTTGGATTCAACACAGGCGGCTACAAGGCTCTGGGTAAACAGTTAAAGATTCAAATTCCATTTACTGATGCAACACTATTTGTAAGTCACAGCCATCCTCATTCCTGAAATGTATTATGTGGATGGGCATGTGATCTAATGGAAGATGTTATTTTTGTCTTACCTTCTATGATTGCTCAGACACCTAAAAAATGTTTTGAGCGGGCTGCTGAGAAATGTCACACAGATGCCTTATCAAGCATTGTTGCATCCTGTTCCTGGGGTAAACGTGTAGCTGTTGGCACAGGATCTAGATTTGAAGTCCTATGGGATGCAAAAGAGGTTTTTGATTATATTCAGTTCTACTCTGGAGTCTGGAGATTAGACTCTATATTTGACTTGTGGTATTAGCGAGGGATCTCTTTAACAATTATTTCACCATTGAATTTTCTTTTGTAGGTAAAATCTAATGATATTGGTTTGGATGTATACAACTTTTTGCATATGATGAGAAGTACTGCACAAGATGAAGTAAACAATAACGGATGTTTGGGAGAGGATGTTGATGATATGTTTGTGGAGGATTGGGAATTGTCACCAGAGCATGCCTCTGGTACAGATGCCGTGTTTGAAACGTATGAGGGTGGGTCTGAAAGACCACAAGAGGATTCTTGGAGCGCTGGTAAGTGGGGAGAAAAACCAAATGATGATGATCCTGCAGCAAGGAAGACAAATGGTTGGTCATCTTGGACAAAAAGTAAACCCGAAACAGGAGATGTTGGATCGGATAGAGCAGAAGATGATTCTTGGAACTCTAGTAAGTGGACAGAGAAACCAAATAATGATGATTCTGTGACAAGAAAGTCTGGTGGCTGGTCATCTTGGATGAAAAATAAACCAGAAACAGGAGGCATTGGTTCTGAAAGAGCAGAAGATTCTGGGAGCTTTGGTAAGTTGACTGCAAAACCTAATGATGATGATTCCACAGTAGTAAAGTCAAGTGGTTGGTCTTCTCGGGCTAAAAATAAACCTGAAACAGGAAATATTGGTTGTGAAAGGGCAGAAGATGATTCTTTGAGCTTTGGTAACTGGACAGCAAAACAAGATGATGATTCTACAGTTAAGTCAAGTGGTTGGTTGACTGGGGCCAAAAATAAACCTGAAACAGGTTCTAAAAGAGTGAATGATGATTCTTGGAGCTCTGGCAAGCAGGAAGCAAAGCTAAATGATGACTCTACAGTAAGAAAGCCAGGTGGTTGGTCATCTTGGACAGAAAATATACCTGAAAAAGGAGACATTGGTTCTGGAAAAGCAGATGATTCTTGGGGCTTTGGTAAGCAGACTGCAAAGTCAAATGATGATGATTCTACATTAAGGAAGACGAGTGGTTGGTCATCTTGGACAAACAAACCAGAAGCAGGAGACATTGGCTCTCTCGAAAAAGCAGAAAATGACTCTTGGAACTCTGGTAAATGGAAAGCAAAACCAAGTCATGAAGATTCTATAGCAGGAAAGTCTAGCAGTTGGTCATCTGGGACTAAAAATAAACCTGAAACAGGAGACATTGGTCCTCCTGAAAGAGCAGAAGATGACTCTTGGAACTCTAGTAAATGGAAAGCAAAACCAAGTCATGATGATTCTATAGCAGGAAAGTCAGGTGGTTGGTCATCTGGGACAAAAAATAAACCTGAAACAGTAGATATCGGTTCTGAAAGGGTAGAAAATGATTCTTGGAGCTCTGGTAAGTGGTCAGCAAAGCCAAAAGATGATGATTCTACAGTAACAAAGTCAAGTGACTGGTCATCTTGGTCAAAAAATAAATCTGAAACTAGAGTCATTGGTTCTGAAAGGGCAGAAGATGATTCTCGGAGCTCTGATAAGTGGACAGCGAAGCCAAATGATGATGATTCTACAGTAAACAAGTCAAGTGGATGGTCATCTTGGACAAAAAGTAAACCCGAAGCAGGAGACATTGGTTCTGAAAGAGCAAAAGATGATTCTTGGGGCAAGAATGATGGCCATGCTTCACTTGACCAAGATAACAATTGCTCTTGGGGAAGATCCAAGTCCCCATCAAGCCAGGGTTGGGGTGGAAGTTCTCGTGGATGGGATTCCCAAAATGCTACAGCTAACGATAGTGACAGAGATCAATGGGGAAAGCAGAGTAGGGAATTGTTCAAGAAAAATCCTTCTGATGGGTCACAAGGTTGGGGTTCCCATGCTGGAGAACGGAAAAACAGGACTCGCCCTCCCAGAACACCCGGGGCAAATCGTGAGACCAATGTAGGTGGACTATATACGGCAACCAGACAGAGATTGGATATGTTCACTTCTGAGGAACAGGATATTCTCAAAGATATTGAACCAATCATGCAGAACATTAGACGGATAATGCAACAAACTGGGTAAGTTTCTCAAGGCAATAATAACACACATGTCATGATGATATGAGCAGTTGTAAGCTTAAACCTAAAACAATTGTGTTACTTTGTGACTGTTTCTTGGTTGTCTATTGTGATTGCTTGCAAGGTGCGTGGCATGAAGTTGATTAGGCATTAATCCTGCACATTAGGGACTGCTGCCTACTCATTTGACAGTCATGTTTGCTTTTTTATATATTTTATTGAATGTATTTGGCTGTTAACAAGTTCTCAGTAGCTTTTACAACTGTTGCTTCAGTGGTTTACCCTTCCAATAGAAGATTACTGCAGGGAACTGAAGAAATAGAGGCTACACTATAAGGCAGCATGCCAATATACATCGTTGTTCCTTTTTTTTTTTATATATTTTTCAACACTAAATTTCTAAGCTTATTTATTTTTCCTTTACTTTTGTATGAAATTTGTGTCATAAATTTTAGCATTTTTTCTTGTTATAATTTATTTTCTATTTGTAAATATTGTGTGAAGGTACAATGATGGGGACCCTCTAGCAGCTGATGATCAAACTTTTGTGATTGAGAATGTCTTTGAACACCATCCAGATAAAGCAGCCAAAATGGGTGCAGGGATTGATCATGTGATGGTATCTTTCTCTTCATTCTGCTTGCCTTTAAGCTTGGACTTGCAATTTATAACTATTGTCACAGGTTTGGTAGATCAAATAGTTTTTTTTTTTTGAATAAAATGTGTGTGTGTGTGTTGACAAGTCAATGTTTTTAATTGTTGGACATGTAACAATATCAATATCATTGTGTAGCTGTTTCTTGTGGAATAAGTTGCTTGGAATTTGTTGGTGAGAATTGAATGGAGATTTAGAGAAGTCTCATGTTGCATGGTTCAAAGGTTTTGGCCATAGAAAGCTGTGTAGAATTTTGTGGATATCTGTGGGCTTCTTACTCCCTATTTTGGAATGCATGACAAGCGGAATGCTTGTCTTTTTAGTGGCGTTGAAGAATTATTCTAGAGATTGTCTCTTTTCTTGTTGCATAACCACCTTCTTTCTTCTCATATATTTCTCTATCCAGCTTTAAGGTCATTTGGAGTTGTTTTTTGGGATGGGATGAAGTGGGATGATTAGAAGTTGTGAGAATAATTAAAGCGAAATTAGAGGGACTTATCTCGTAAAAATAGAGATTTGATAGGATTGGGTCATTAGGAATAATATTTGGTTTTATTTCTTTTTACAGAATATCATTATACGTGTATATATCTTGTCAATATTGTCAAATAAATCAATTCAGTTCTTCTCTCTGGCTCGTCTTCGACCATATGGTATTAGAGCCAGGGTACGCTGAACACGACCACTTAGAGGGAGACGATAGAACCAGCCGAGAGCCAAACTCACGCACTCGACCCTCTACGTTCATGGGTTCAGGTGCTGAGGCAGACTCAAAAATCACTCCAAATGGCGAAACTCCTCTTGGGTTGAGTTTTGTCGAGGGAACATCTCTAGTCCTGGTGTTCGAAAAATTCAATGGGACTAATTATCGTGAGTGGGCCCAGAGTGTTCAATTGGCTGTTGGAGGCCGTGGGAAGCTGGGTCTCATCTCAGGTACGTCCAAACCACCAGACGTATCAGATTCGGCTGCATTGGTGAAGTGGGGGACTGAAAATTCTTTGGTGGCTTCTTGGTTAGTTAACTCCATGACTCCTCAAATCAAACAATCCTTTATGTTTCTCTCGACAGCACGGGATATTTGGGATGCAGTCAAGGAGTCTTACGCGGATGGTGAAGATGGTGCTCGAATTTATGATCTCAAAACTCAAAGTTGGCAGATCAAACAAGGTAAACGTGACCTCACTGAATTCTAATTGGAGTTAGTTTTAGTGTGACAAGAGATTGATCTCAACATAAAAACCGAGTGGTCTTGTCCTAGTGATGCAGCATGTTATAAAAGACTTATTAAAGATGAGCGAGTATTCCAATTCTTGGTTGGTCTTCATCAATCATTAGATGATGTTCGTAGTCACATCCTGGCTTGCTCCCCTCTACCATCTACTCGTGATGTATTCGCTGAGGTTCATCGTGATGCTTCTCGTCGCAAGGTTATGTTGCCTGGACTTTCCTCAACCCTTCCTTCATCTGAATCTTTTGCCTTAGTGAGCAGACAATCTACCTTACCCACCATTGACAAGGATCAGTTAAATAAGCTTCTAGAGATGCTCCATAGTTTATAATCCAACTAGTCATCTCCATCTCATAATGCTTCCACTACTAAGCAAGGTAATTCTCATTTGGCATTCAATGTATGTTCCACTAAATCAAAGTGGATTGTTGACTCCGGAGCCTCAGATCGCATGACTGCAGACTCTACTTTGTTTACTTCATACTTTCCTTGTAGTGGCCATGAGAAAATTGACACGGCAAACGGTACATCCTCTTCCATTGCAGGAACTTGTAGTATCACTATTTCTAAATTTCTGCACCTTGACTCTGTTCTTCATGTTCCCTATCTTGCTTGCAATTTACTATTTATCAGTAAGTTGACTAAACAAGCCAAATGTAGTGCTCATTTCTTCTCTACTCACTGTATTTTCCAGGATCTCTCATCGGGGAGGATGATTGGCAATGCTGAGGAGTGTGATGGGCTCTACTACTTTGATGAATCAACCGTGAGTAATCTATGGTCTCGAATCTACTGCAACCTTGTGTCTACTTTCGAACAAGCTGATCTTTTGTTATGGCATAAAAGAATGGGTCATCCTAATGTCCAATATTTGAGTCATTTGTTTCCCCAATTTCCATCTAATAAAATTTCTAATTTTCATTGCGATATTTGTGAATTGGCTAAACATCATCGCTCTTCTTTTCCGCGGTCTAAATATAAGCCTTCTAGACCTTTCTCTCTTATCCATAGTGATGTTTGGGGTCCATCTCGTGTTGCTAATCGAACTAGAGCCAAGTGGTTTGTTACCTTTATTGATGACCATACTTGTGTGTGTTGGGTATATTAAATGAAAGATAAACTTGAGGTATCCTCTATTTTTACCGAATTCTATACCATGGTTCTCAATCAATTTAACACATCCATCAAAATTCTCCAAATAGATAATGGCACTGAATATGTCAACAAGTCTCTAAGTGACTTCCTTCAAACTTGAGGTATCATCCATAAGACTTCCTGTGCGAATACACCCCAACAAAATGGGGTGGCCGAATGCAAAAATAGACACCTGTTGGATGTTGCCTGTGCTCTTATGTTCACCACCAATGTGCCAAAATATTTCTGGGGGGATGCCATTCTCACCACCACCTATCTTATTAATCACATGCCCATAAAAATCCTATCATACACCACACCCCTTAAGTGTCTCTGGCAAACCTACTCTCTCACTCATCTTGAAACCATTCTTCCATTCAAGTTATTTGGGTGTTCTAGGTTTGTTCATCTCCATTCCTCTTCCAAACTTGACCCACAAGCTGTCAAGTGGGTGTTTCTTGGTTACTCCTCATACCAAAAGGGATATAAATGCTTTGATCCATCTTCTAAACGTCTATTTGTCAGTCATGATGTTACTTTTTCTGAATTTGAGCCTTTCTATTCATCTCTTTTAATTCAGGGGGAGAGTTGGAGTGAATTTCAGGAATTTCAGGAATATTCTCCCATTGAACCTATTGATTCTCTTGACCGTGACCAGTCTCTTGACCATCCCACTTTGCTTGAGCCTGTCACTTTTGTTCCAAAATCAAAAGAAAATGCAGGTTTAGGGGGAGATAAGAACACAGGTGCATAAGGTAAAGAGATTAAAGTTTACACACGGAAGAGAAGCATGGTACAAAAGCTTTCATACCTGAAGCAGTACCGGAATCAAAACTAATGACAGATTTTATGGGAGATAGTCATAAAGAAGAAAATGAGAATGATAATCTTGATGAGGAAGAAGGTTCAGAAAATTCAGAAGATGACTTTGAGATACCTATTGCCTTCAGGAAGAAGCCAAGATCATGTACACAACATCCTATTCAGACGTTTGTATCTTATAAAGCCGTACACAACATCCTATTAAGACGTTTGTATCTTATAAAGCCTTATCCCTAAGGTATCGGGCCTTTATTGCGAATGTGGATGGTGTTTGTATTCCTAAAGACATTCATGAGGCCCTGAAAATGTCTGGATGGAGAGAAGCTGTCTTGGAAGAAATGAAAGCTTTGGAAGAAATGAGACTTGGAAGGTTGTGTAGAAACCAAGAAACAAGAAGCTAGTTAGTTGCAAATGGGTGTTTACCCCCAAATATAAGGTTAATGGAAAGCTTGATAAATTGAAGGCTGGACTGGTGGCAAGAGGGTTTACACAGACCTATGGCATTGACTACCAGGAAACATTTGCACTAGTGGCAAAATTGAATACCATTAGAGTATTGTTATCTGTAGTAGCCAATCTTGAATGGCCGTTACACCAACTAAACATCAAAAATGCCTTCCTAAATGGAGAATTGAAAGAAGTTTATATGACTCTACCTCCTGGTTTTGATAAAGGAAGGGAGAATCAAGTATGTAAATTAAAGAAATCATTATATGGGTTGAAACAGTCTCTAAGAGCATGGTTTGATAGATTCTTAAAAGTTTTAAAGCTACAAGGCTACAATCAAGGACTATCGGATCATACTATGTTCGTTAAAGTAGAAGGCAGTAAGAGGTGTGTCCTTATTATATACGTTGATGATATAATCATCATGGGTGATCATAGTGAGGAAGTGGCAAGAATAAAGGCTATTTTGGAAAAAGAATTCAAGGTCAAGGACTTGGGCTGTCTGAAATACTTCTTGGGAATGGAGGTTGCATGATCAAAGCAAGGTATTTATGTGTCTCAAAGGAAGTATGTACTTGATCTCTTAAAGGAGACAGGTATGTTGAGGTGTAAACTTGTTGAAACCCATATTGTTTTTCCAAAGAAGAGGCAAAAATCCAAGAAAGAAGAGGGCAATTTTGATGAAGAAGATAACTATGTTAAGGAAGAAGAGGATAAAGAGAGAGAGAGGCCAACGGATAAAGAGAGATATCAAAGGCTTGTTGGGAAACTTGTTTATCTATCTCACAGACGACCTGACATCGCATTTGTTGTGAGCTTGCTAGTCAGTATATGTGTGAACCGAAGGAAAAACATATGGAAGTTGCATATAGAATCCTAGGGTACCTGAAGGGAAATCCTGGATGAGGTTTACTGTTTCAAAAACATGAACAAAGGAATATAGAGGTGTATACAGATGCAGATTGGGGTGGCATCACCAAAATAGGAGATCTACTTCTGGGTATTGCTCATTTGTATAGGGAAATCTGGTTACTTGGAAGAGTCAAAAGCAGAGAGTTGTATCCAAAAGTAATGCTGAATCTGAGTTGAGTGCCCTTGCTCAAGGTATAATGGAAGAATTGTGGCTAAAAATGGTTTTGGAAGAGATCCATGTCCAACTTGATCTACCTCAAACTATATTGTGATAATAAGGTTGCCATAAGTATGGCATTGAATCCTATCCAACATGAGAAGTCCAAGCATGTGGAAATAGATAGACACTTTATCAGAGAGAAGGTGGAAGATGGAATTATATGTCTAACTTTCCTACCGACAAATCTCCAAGCAGCAGATGTGTTGACAAAGGGATTACAAAAACTTGCTTTTGATAATTATATGAGCAAGTTGGACATGATTAGCATCTATGATCCAATTTGAGGGGGAGTGTGAGAATAATTAAAGAGAAATTAGAGGGATTCATCCCATAGAAATAGAGATTTGATAGGATTGGGTCATTAGGAGTAATATTTGATTTTATTTCCTTTTACAGAATATCATTATACATGTATATATCCTGTCAATATTGTCAAATAAATCAATTCAGTTCTTCTCTCTGGCTCGTCTTCGACCACAAAGTTTTATACCATTATTTGGGATAATTTTTTAAGAGAAGTGGAATTGCTTGGGATGGTCTTCCAAGCTATCCTTTGCCATTTCAAACCCATTTTTTTCTAACCCCCAAAATTGGAGGGTTAAGAATGAAATGAGGTGATATAAATAACCAAGGTATGTAAAACCGGACCAGTCATTAAACTGGTCATAGCATTGGGTCACGGGTTAGTGGTTCAATCGGGGTTGAATCGGGAGTTGAACCGATGGCAAATCGGTCATGATTAAAATAATACAATTTAAATAAAAAGACATTACTTATAAAAACATTTAACCAAATCCAATCACTCAAAAGTCTAACAATAATAAAATATTATATTTTTGGACTTAGCATGCTCTACCTCTAATTTTTCATTTTTTGACTTCAATTTTACTTTTTTTTGTTATCTTATTTCTGAACTCAGAGCTCTGAAAAATTAAAAATAAAAAAAAAAACGATGCCGTTGTGGGGGTAGAAGTCTGAAAAAATAATAACCCGGTCAACCCATCGGGTTATACCGGGTTGACTGGGTTACATCGGTTTACTCCCTCACCGGGTTAAGAGTAAACCCAAACCGGACAAGGGACCAGGTCATCGGTTTCCGGGTTGTCCGATTTTCAATACCATGTAAATAACATTATTATGGAATTACCTTCATCCTGCTCCCCTCTACTCTTTCACTCTCTCATCTTAAAATTGAAAAACATAATTAAAACTAATTCAAATTTATTAATTTTATAATAATTCTTAAATAATGATTAAATAAAATCATTCATTTCTTTTATAAAACTCCTAAACAATTGAATGTTCCATTCTGTTTTGTTCCATTTCATTTCAGTAGTGACTATTCTTTTATGTTTTATCATATATTCTCAAAGGTACCCTAAATGTCTTGTTCTAGGGGGGTAACCAATCAGTGATTAAGTGATTTCATCTAAAATAACACTGGGACATTTTGACAGGTTAGCAGGCACAGCAATTTCCAAGACAGCAGGTGCTTCTATTTGGTACTGAAAGATGGTCAGAAGCAAGATTTTTCATACCGGAAGTGTCTGGATAACTTTTTGAAGACAAAATACCCGGAGTTGGCTGAAGAATTTGTTGGCAAATATTTCAGAAAAAGGAGGGAACAACAGAACCCAGCTCCAACAAACGATGAAAAAGCCTAGTAATATTCTGTTGTCGTCAGGATCAATTTGTACATATGACACTTCATTCATGACATACTGATGTGAAACGCACAGTTGAGGCAGCAATGGTAGCTTGGTTTGACCCTTTTTCAGGAAACGTGTGGTTTCATGAAGTTTTCTGACCCTTAGGTTGGTTTGACCCTTGTGGGACACGTTTGGTTGACTGTCTCAACTGTTTTATGTGTTGATACTGTTATGTAAATGGTAGCTTCATTCTCTTCAGAAAACTCTAGTTTAGTGAGTCATGGCCTCATCTTATTCTAACTCATCAAGCTTTAATGGTTCAATGGCTGGTTAGTTTGGATGGGGAGAAAAAGTTGAGAGGAAGGAAAGAGGAGAGAATGCCTTTTAACTTGTTCGGACATGAAGAGAAAATGAGAAGAAAATAGGAGAGACAATAGCATGGGGAGACTTCGGGGAGAAAATTGTCACCCTATAGTTTCTCTCATCAATAGTATATTTTTTTTTGGGCAAAAGTTTTGATGAGTTGGGTCTTGACTCATCAGGACTTGCGCATTCCTTCAAGTTCAAAATGCTTATAAAGGTATTTATAAATCATTTATTAATAAAATTGAGTCAAATCTTTATTAATTGGATCAACTTTTATTGGTATTAGTATTAAATTTCGGTGTTGAATAATGTACAATTTGATTTTTATCAAATTATATTATATTTTCAAAATTACCCTTTTTAATTTTTAAATTAAGAGACATGTTTTTGCCAAATTATTTGTTTTTAAAATAGAAAAAAATGTGAAAATATGTTTTTATCAAATATTTTGATTTTAAAATACTTTGATGATGTTAAATTTTAGTTCAATTTTTGCCTTCAATTTACTTTAGAACTGCATCACAACTTCAAACAACCATAGTATTACTTCCAAATATATTAACACATTTTACAGTTTCAAGCAATTTAAACAGTAAAGTGCATTATAAATTCAAAGTCAATTGCAAGTTCACATACTAAATCTTGTTCATCAATTTATCTTTATACTCCACAACTCTCTTGGTTCAACAGATTTTATATTATGTCGATCCACATCTAACTCTTTTTTTTTTACTTTTTATTTGAGATGATTCTATTTGCAATTTGCTTGGACATTAAATGTGAGAATCTCTTTTAATGGAAATTCTAACTCTTTGTATAGCATGTCTTCTAACTCAATTTCTAATGGATCTTCAAATTTGACAACAAATTTTTAAATCCTATTATTATGAATTGTGTAAGCAATGGGTTAATAACTTAGACTTATAAGGCCCAATAACATTTTCCGTAGCCCACGTATGCCCATTCCATTACATTTCCTACCCAAGCATGTTTCTTGTTGAATCTATAAGAAACAAGTGATGATTAAAGTTTAACTTTAACTATCATTAGAAGAAATTATTGCATGAATTCAGTACACCAAGTCATTTGTATGTTGTCCAATAAAATTACACTATTTCAATCAAATAAAATTTTATGTTATTATTTTTAATAATTTTATTTATGGAATAAGGTATCTCTTTAACTTCTTACATTTTCTCCCTTTATCATCGTCTATTATATTTACAGATATCTAACATAACATGTTATTGTTGAATAGTTTACAAATGATGTGGTATACTGAGAATCTCTCAGAGAGAAGTATTTTTTGAGAAGTTGTAGAACATCTCTATGTTCCACTTATAAAGATGAGTTTTTATTTAATCTATTGGAGTAACACGGATATGGAAAATATAATTTTTTTTGAATAGTGATAATATTAAAAAAAGATTTAAAGTTCCATATATCCCAGGTAACGTATAACAAGAATGAACTGTCGAGTTGCCTAATCTTGTCCCTTCATTGTCACATAACCGGAAATATAATGTTCAAAAGATAATGGCAATAAATGAAACACGATGAAGATAATAGTTGTATTTATAATGGATTTAAGTTCTTTTTTATTTTTAAACATAAACAAAGATAATACATTCATAAAAAATGATTAAAATACAAGACTCTCGATTGAGCAATGCGCATCCAGGAGAAGAGGTCAGAAGATGAAGGGCTTGTTTGCTTTACACCTTTTGAGGTTTGTGAAGGCAGGATGGATAGCAGAAGAGAACTTGCTCCCATCATCAACAGACAACACACTCTTGTTGCTCAGTGGGAAGCATTGAAATGAGCTTGTCGTATGTATGTATGTATGTATCAATCTATCTATCTATCTATCTGTGTAGTTTAAAACTACTTAATTATGACATAAAACTAAATATAAAGGTTTAAAATTTAATATTTTGTAATTTGTCATTTCATTCTACCAATTTATTTCATATTTTATAATTAGATTTTTAAATTTATCAATTTATTTTATATTTTATCTTTTTGAAAAATATTAATTTAAATTTTTTTTGAAAAATAAAATTAGTCACAAAAATATATACGAGAAAGTTCATGCTTATTTTTATTATTATACATCTTAACTGGCCTTTAAACCAAATTATTTAAATAAATTTTAGTTTGTCCAATTAACTTCAGGTATCTAAATATAAATCATGCTACAGTCACATACTTTTCCTAATTGATCTTAATCTTAGTTGGGAATTTTTTAACCCAAACACTCCGTAGAAAGCAAGACAGCAGTGGCCGACATAGGGCCTTAAACCAATGGAAGCATATTTTCTTTTGTTTTTTTTTTTGATTTTTTGGTTGTTGTTGGGTGAGGCACAAAAAATATGCTTCACTAATAATAAAGTTTAATTTGCCCCTTATATTGAAAGCCGTGGATAAAATTTTATGAACTAGATTTGTTATATATGTAAGCTGTTGGAATTTAAATCCCAAGCACTGTTTAATTATGAGACTTTTACCACGCATACTAACTTAGCTTAAATTGCTAAAAAAATAAATTAAATAACAAGTTCAATATATAAAGGTTAAAATCATTTAAAATTATATAAGTATTTAAACAAATTACTTACCTTATATTACTATTTATGGCTCATGAATTATACGATTTTCTATAACTTTTATAAATATGTTGATGATATTGTTCAGAATCTAAATATTCTAAAACATGCTTTAAGATAACAAAATGTACATCTAATTAATAAAAATGCCTAAGAGATATGTTTGGACTAAAAATAACATACTAGGCCTAAAAGGAGAACGGCTGAAGCCTTGTCCAATTTGTGAGGAAACTTAGCCTAATGGCAACCTAGTTTCACAAAGGCAAGTGGAATGCCGCGTTTAGATAGTCAACGATGTGGTCTTGCCCACTTTTCCCATTATCAGATTATTTTAGTAAGCTCACTCTCCACTTCGCATGATGAGGTGTACCCTTCGTCACAAATGGTGTGGACTCCTAATGGCACCAAACTCAAATTCAAAAGGGGAATGTTATTGCCAATTTTCTATAAACATGCAACGAGCACATGACTCAAGAACTTGCAACACTACTAAACTCACATAAGACTTGCCCAGTGCAAAACACCAATCTTAGCCCCACATCATCCAACTTCACACAGCGTGAACTACTTCTTTTGTACAAGCTTGGCTTCCTGGGCTAGTTTGTATATGTTTCTCCTTCTTTGTCTTTGCGGAGCACCCTATTTGTATTCATTCACCAATAATACACTCGTGCTTTATGTGTCACGTGGTGCTCTCTTTATTTTTCTCGCATGCACTTAACTCTCCAAGAAAATTGTGATAAATGACCTTGGAAACCTACTTGATCATCTAATCCAACTCACAGTCTTGTGGACACGCTCCCTTGGCATGCTTAGCACACTCCTAAGGGTCACAATGCTTTGAACCCTTCCTCAAAAATTGAGCCAACATAGTTTTTGGCACTCCAAGTGGGACATTATCAAGGACAATGCTGATAAACACCTGTTTTAAACATTTTAAGATAAAAACCATGTTGGATCACGAGATTTGGAATGTGGTGCTGCAGGCATAGCACATGAAACTCACAACTCACATCCCAAGGATGAAAGAGAGGTAGGGTTACTAGCTTAAGAGACATCCAATTGCTCTAATCTAGACAAGCCAATGTCCAACTTACGCACCCAGCCATTGGGCCAAAAAAAGGTTTCTGAACAAAGCCTAGAAGGTCTTTAGAAAAGCTTTGAGTGGCAAGTTGAGCAAATTAAGAAGACCATGGAGGACTTCATTAAGTGCTACGAGCACAATAATAAAAAATGAGGCGGCTGTGTTTCATACTCAATAGTCGGAAAAGGCTGAAGAAAAGGAGAGAATTTGATTTGTTAAAGCACAAAAGTTGGAATTCTTTCAAAAACAATAGGAAGAGAGAGACTAGAGAAGGCATATTGAAATATGCTAAGTCATCCTGGAAACCATGCAAGCATTAAACAGTTAGTTTGCCATTCACACGGTGATTAGTGTGGTGATTGAGGAAACCTCTCAACGAAACTCCCTTGAGAAGAGTCTTACGCTTGAGAGGCATAAGAGGCAACCCTCAGGAACAAAGGAGTTTATCAAGCCTAACCATTAGCTAAGGGATGGTACACTTTCATCCTATCAGAGGGGACAAGTAAGCTAGCAACGTTGCTTTAATGTAAGATATAAGGGTTTTTCTCAGACGCATTGCTATTCCTATACTAACCATTTGAATAACTCAACTGTGTATGGACTTGATGTCATGTAGAGCATTGAAAGCTCGGGGGTCAATGCTCATGCAGAGAGAACTTGGATAGAGAACCATCAAGTAGGGAACTACCCTTAGAGGCCTAGAGTTCATTAGGGAGGTAGTAAGAGAATTGTAGGGGCAAGTTTTAAGGCCACTACCAAGGCTAGAGTACCACAAACCATACTCGAAGTACATTGATCATGAAAACATCTTCCGAAGGGGTTTCATGTCCTAGAGTTCAGCCTGTTTTTTAAGGAGGATAGTGCATCTACACTGGAGCACATTGTAAGGTTAACGTTCCAGTGTGGGGAACTTAACCACTCGAATAATTAACATGAAGCTAAGGTTGTTCCCTAGGTCTCTCACAGGACCAACATTCCCATGGTATGTTAGACTACACAAAAATTTGATATACACCTAGACAAAAATACAAGGGAAGTTCCAAACATTTCTACATGGCGAAGCTAGAGTTTGCATATAAGAACTATGCAAAACTATTCAATATCCTAGGAAAAGTTTAGAGAGGTTCCTTAACAGATTCAAGAAACTCTATAGACAATTCAAGCTGCAATTGCCAGAAACAAAGTATGTCAAAATGGCATAGCCATGTTTAG